CTTGCCTTTCTGGCATCTTTGTAGCCATAATCTGTTTCAAAGCCAGGTTTCGCACTTCATATTTCACTATTCCGGATCCACCACCTGTTGACTCTTGGTTTTTTCTTCCTACCGAGGGTTGATAGAGGTGCTCCAAAACTCCTTGGTCGCCCCTTCGCCACGAGTTTGAACATAACATAATATAAGTTAAATTACACCAATCGTCTCTCGTACACATGCCAGAAACGTGTTAAGTCCATATTTTCAAAAATTAACTTGGAACCACCCTAGTTGTTATTTTACTTGCACGGTTAGTTCCTATAGACGTTAACCGTTAAATGCTTTTGTTTAAGCTCCCTACGTGCCTTGCATGCATGGGAATTTTCGTCTTTTCAGGGTTGGTATACCTTCTTAATGTCGTTGCATCTTAAAAGCATACAAAACACTACCTCCATCCCTTCCTTTGCTGTCGTCTCCTTTGTCTCCCCTTACGAATGATTTCTTCCAACTTAATAACAATGATCGATATTAAATGTAATTATGGAGCCACTACAGTGATTCACACATCTTATAGAAAAAGAAACCCTGGGAAACTCTATTATTCTTTACAGTAAAGGTAAGGGTAATGGTTTTAATCTTGTCTAATTTCGTTCTTCATCTTCACTATTTTTTCCCTAATTCTTGATCTTCTTTAATTAGTTCAGGGACCATTATGCAATTTCATAACATAGGTGAATGATTATGATCAGAACTGTGATTTTATGGAGTTTAAGATGAAACTTGAAGAACAAAATCACAAATTAAAGTTTTACCTAGTTATTAGCGCTTTTTTTATTTTATTTTATTTTATTTTATTTTATTTTATTTTATTGTTGTTGTTGTTGTGGTCCTTATATATAAAGTGTAGGTTTAGTAATGAAGTTCTTAGTCTTTTGTATGTGTATTTTGTATTGCTATTTGTATTACGAAAAAACCTTCAATTCTATTTACAATATATTGTGTAATCATAATGTGGTGTTCTTAGTTGGTGTTCAAATTTAATGAAAATGTGGTATTTATGATCCAAAATAGAAACATATGCAATATACCATTTAATACATGTAGCATCCAATATAGTAAAAAAGTTTTAACGTAAGGGACAAAGTTTTAAGGTAAGAGACAAAACTTAAAATATCCAAGATGACCATTTACCATTAACACAAACATCCAAAATAGCAACATAGTGTTAAGGTATACAAATAGTTATCCTGCATAGCAACAAAGTATCAACAAACAAAGCATAACAACAAAGTAATAATGCAATCAATGCTTAACAAAAACATAGTTATCCTTCATGATCATAATACCAAATTACAAATTCTCAAATCATGGGGATTTTCCCTTCTTCCCAACTCCTTTTTTGACACCACTACTGCTACCTACTGCACCTTGACATGTACCTTCTCCTGCACTCTTGTTACCGCGAGTAGACTCAAAACCTTAATTTTTAGGGTTTAAGCCATATAAATACAACATTATGTCCCAAACCCTAGCCTCCGTACAAGCCACCTAGACTAAAAAAGCCTAGAAACCTTTCATTCTTCATCTTTGTGTGTTTTGGCCTTGTGAAGCTTATTTTCATGATTTGAAACTTGGAAGGAGATGGAAGAAGTTGAAGAAGAAGAACTTGAGTAGCTTAAGCTCAAGGATTTGGGATAACACCACTATATGGCATTCATTTGAAGTAAAAAGCTCTCAACTTGCCTCATGAATGCTTAGATCTATGTTAATGGTGTTTTGGACCTTTTTATGTCCCAAGAATGGATTTTTATGGGTTAAATCCGTTTCTAGGCTTAGGGTTGCCACCCCTTAGTACTATATAAGTCCCAAGAGCAGTAAAGTTTCAATCTTGAAGGTCCTTTTGTAACCATGCATGAGTTCTAGTCATTTTCATGGAAAATAGTTGTCATATTTCAAGTTTGGGTCCATTTGGTAGGTTGCAAGCCACCAAGTAATCAACTTTATGAGTTAAGACGTGTTAACGGATCCAGATCTGTATTTTAAGCTTAAGGTCTTAAGGGATTAAGCACTTTTGAAGAATAGGGCTTAACAGGGTAGTATGCTGGGCGTACAAGCTAGTACGTGTAGCATACAAGCCATGTAGCCTGTACGCTTAGCATACAAAGGAGTACGCCCTACGTAATCGCTGATTTTGGGGCTTCACGTCTTTTGGTCCTCAGTTTGGGCCATCTTGGATTTCTTAGCTATTGGGCCTTAGTGGGCCATCAGAAGTCAGTTATTAGGCTAAGGACATGATTGGGCCTAAGGGAAGGTCCATTTGAGAAGTTGGGCCCAATTTAGAAAATTAGGCCATAAGTGGGCTTAGAAAGACTATATGGAATTAGGCGCTTCATGTTAAGAATTTGGGCCTATGTCATGGACCAAAGTAGATGAGGGGTAAAATGGTCATTTTACCCTAAGAAGGATTATTGGATTTTGACTAAGTGGTATTTGGTAATGATAGCTCGGGGAGTCGTTAGAGATTCCTTGCCATGAGATTTTGCATTTAGCTTTGAGAGGTGAGTTTCCTCTTGTATGAAGGGGTCGAAGGCACCAATGTCGGCCCGTATATGTATGCTAGTATGTTCCAGACCAAGGTCCGATGTCGGGCAGTGCCCGATGTACGATTATATGTTTCCGGATCTCCGATCCGATGTTGGGCAATGCCCTGAGGAATGTTTGTATGGTTGATGTCTTCGTGATTCTTGCACGTGTCTGTTTTTTATGTTTCCAGATTTTGGTACGATGTCGGGCAATGCTCGAGGAATATTTGTATGCTTCCAGATTTCGGTCCGATGTCGGGCAGGGCCCGAGGAATGTTTATATGTTTATGTTATGTGATTATTTATGTGTATTTGTTGATATGTTTATATGTATACCAAGCTTTTCTCAATGCCAGGTGGGGCCCAATGCCGAATTTCGGTCTGATGCTGGGCGAGGCCCGATGATGGACATTATTCGATCCTGGGCGGGGCCCATTGATGCGGGTAAGGCCTATGATATGTTATTATGTGACTATGTGTTTATGTGTATGGTATATGGTAGTTTGAGGAGACTCACTAAGCTTCATGCTTACCATTTTTAGTTTTGGTTTCAGGTACTTCCGGTAGCAAAGGGAAGAGCTCGGGATGACTGCAATGCACACACCATGATTGTATCCTGGGATGTTTTTACTATGATATGTTTGACAGATGTTATGATGTTTTGAGATACAATGACTTATGATTTTTATACGATGATTTGATAACTATGGTTTTATTAATAATTAAAAAGGAAATTTTTGGACCGTATTTTTGGGATGTTTCAGATTGTCCATTGCAGGTCCTTCCATTATGGCCCACATTTCCATATGTTGTGCATGTTACTGATTTCCATTTTGTAGATAGTCCATCATCTTTAATTGTAGATCTTTTTTTTGGTCTGCCAATAGGGACACGATACTTTGGTGGTATCAACTTGGTAGAACATGTGTTTTTTTTCCCAAAAAACATCAAATTAATAGGTTCAACTTTGAAGACATACATTTCTTTCCAAGTCTTGAGACAATATATACGGTGAACCCATGTTTCAGGTATTCCAACATTCTTATTATTGAGCCTCATATCCCATATAGTTGCTATACTATGTTTGCAAGGTATGCTTGTCAATTCCCGCTTGTTACATGAACAAGTTTATTGTTCCATATTAACCACACACTAATTAGTACCTTGACATGTAACCTGGTACTTCCCATTACCATAGAACATTGCCCTGCACTCTACTACATTTTCTTTAATTTTTTGAAGGGTCTTGGTGGCTGTACGAGTTAATGGTCCATTACCTTTGTCAAATTCTTTTTGGATCATGACAAGTTTCCTCATGATATACTCCCTAATAAACTCCAAGCAACTGATAATTGGCTTATCATGACCCGTCACTATATTTCTATTCAAACTCTTACACATATTATTCCACAAAGCATCACAATGTGCCCTCCCTAATTAAACACAACTGTATTAGATTATATTTAAAAATTATAAACTTATCAACAAAATATTATATACCTGAGAAGTGGGATCTGGACCAATGCTTAGGTGGAATAGTCTTAAGCTAGTCATGTGCTACAATATTAAGTTTCTTTAGTTATTACATGGCACTTTGAATACTTTAACGTGGTTCCACACAATCAAGCAATTCCATCATCTCATCTATATCATGCACCGAGAACAAGTCACTATCAATTCGATCAATATATTTCATCTACCTCTTGATGTATTTGCGGCCTAGAAACTTCGTAAAAACTCCTCCATAGTTTAATCGTATCGA